GAAAATGCACCAAAACTCTTGAATGCAGGAACCCCAAAAAAACAACTAAATTACCTATGAACACCCAAACTACCTAACCAAGTAGGTGCTACATTTGGCAAGTGATTCAAGTGCAGGGTTTTACTAGCCCCCAACTTCACATGTGAATGAGTCCTAAGGGTGCTGCTGCTGAATGCAACTAAGGGCTCATTCACAAGTCCAGCAGGCACTGCTGCTCCTCTGAAAAGTGATCTGAGTGTGCTTGACAGGTGGTGGGGAGGAGATATGTTGCAACATGGTAGTACAGCAATTAGAGGTTTAAATCAGATGTGAGGAGGTGACACTGTGCCTGGTGATCTTTGACTTCGCCCATGTTGTTCAAGTAGATCTCCACTTCTTTAAGGCTGCCAACTCCTGGTGTAGAGAATATATTTAATAGTTAGCCCTCATGCACACTGGGCATTTTTGACACTTAGGGGCGTCTCACATTTTTTTTTCTGCCTTTAAACACTCCCGCATGTTAGCCTATATGTCAATACACGCATAGGCATTTAGAGAAGTTTAGAGACAGAAAAACCCCCCCACTGCCAGTGCGCCAAGGAGTAGCAGCGGATTGGCAGGAAGAACGCTTGATGCGTACAAACACGTGTTAAGGTGTCTAAACACACATTAATGCTAGGCACGTTTAGCGCTTGAGCATGAATTTCAAAGGCCAGAATGAATGAACGCCAAAGCACCCATGAACTAACGCTCAAGCGCTTGACGCACGTACACATTACACACTTTTTGAAGCGTTTTTTTCTGTCAAAACACCACTGCCAGGAGGAAAGGCATCTATTTATTTATTTCAGGTACTTATATAGCACCGTCAATTTATGCAGCGCTTTACACATATATATTGTACATTCACATCAGTCCCTAACCCTCAAGGGGTGTACAATCTAAGGTCCCTAACTCACATTCCTACATACACATACTAGGGACAATTTAGACAGGATCCAATTAGCCTACCAGCATGTCTTTGGAGTGTGGGAGGAAAACGGAGTACCCGGAGGAAACCCATGCAGGCACAGGGAGAACATGCAAACTCCAGGCAGGTGGAGCCGTGGCTGGGCTTTGAACCAACGACTCTAGTACTGCCAGGCAGAAGTGCTGACCATTTAGCCACTGTGCTGCCCAGGAGAGATCTAGGAGAAATAGCAATAACGTTCAGTGTCCATGGGGACAATGGTGAAGGGAACTTATTAAAACTGGAGCAGACAGAATCCGATGCAGCTGTGCATGGCAACCAATTAGCTTCCAACATTCATTTTTCAAAGCTTCACTGAACAGGCTGAAGACAGAAGCCGATTGGTTACTAAGCACAGCTGCGACAGATTCTGTCTGCTCCCATTTTGGTAAATTCCACTCAATGTATTTCTCTGCGATGAACTTAACCACTTTCAAGAGATACCCCATGGCTGACCTGAGTCTACATCAAGAACAGACATAAGCTTCCCTGTACAGGTAGGATTAATCAGAACTTCCATAATTTTAGAGAATCTAAATCACGACCCTTCCCATCAAAACATAAAAATAGTTTGAGCAGCCATTGGAATCACACATTTGAGCCTCCTCTCATTATAATCAACATGACTCAGTTCTTCCCACCAGGTACACAATCGCCACATGGCATTTACTTCATATGCAAATAACATCACCAGTAACTTCAAATAAATGAACACATTTTAGCTGAAGAATCTTCTCTAGGGCCACTGCATATGAAACTTTATAGGTAGTAAAGTCAACAGGCATGTTCCATGTGGAAACCCACCAAGCAACAGAGGTATGAGCCAGAAGGCATGATGTATCAGTATTCATGGACTAAGGTCATTAGCAATGGATGGTCACTAAACTTCAATCGCCCCATTTTATCTAATAAAATAGCAGGATTTACCGATTTTCTGTAAATTGTGACCAGCACTCATGTGCTGTGCCAAAATGGGTGCCAACACGAATTCTGTTATTCCACTGAGGTTTACACAAATATGTTGAATGGCACCGCTTTCTTTCTGGGAGAACTGTCAGCACTCACTTTGGAATTGGTTTTAGACTTTGGGATTCAAGTTTTAGAGTTAAAGTGTAATTCCAGTCTATGTCTAACTAGGCCTAAAACTGCAACCACCCCCCCCCTTCTAACTGGTATTCCCACTACCCTGTAGAAAAGAGATGCTTATACTTACCTATTCCCAGAATGCTCCAGTCCAGTCACATGATCTCCCCAATGGCCATTTTCAGGGAAGAGGAGAGAGCACAAACAAAAACAGCTGCAATGCTATTGGGCATCTGTTGTTGACTGTCCCTCCTCTACCCTGAAGCTGGTGCTGGCAGAGCAGAAACTAACTCCCCTGAGCTCTGAGACCCAGATAAGGGGTGGATGGATGGAACCAGAACTTGAAAAATTCGACCACCAATGCATATAGGGTTGTGCAGCTCCAAACAAGGCTAGGGAAGCCCGACCAGTACTGCAAAGCGAAACAAAACAGAAAGCGCACCAACCTTGTGCATTACCTCAGTAACCAAAATTTTATTGAATACAGAATGATGCTCACAAACAGCGAAGTAAATCAATCATGTAAGTTCTCAAAGGAACTTAAGAATTATGAAGCCTGCGCGAGTCCATTCAAAGGAGTAGACACTCAAGAGTACAGCTGACGCATTTCGAAGGGCATCCCTTCTTCATCAGAGCTGGTGCTGGCAGCCAATCATCTGATTGGACTGGAACACCCTGAGAATAGTACAAGTATAAGCATCTACCTTGTACAGGGTAGCTGATATAGCAGAAAGGGGGATGGAGCAGTTTTAGCCTTTGTTAGATATAGACTGGAATTCCACTTTTAAGTAGAAGTGCACTGAGAGGCTGAGCCAGCTAGCGGTCAAGCATCTGATCGGATCCCGACATTGTTGGAATCCCTGCAGAGCCTGGACCAGCTTTGTGACATCAGATGACAGCAGACTTTAGCCCCATTGGCTGAATCTGAGTGACAGGAGTGCAGAACAAAGTGACCCACAGGAGAAGTATGGCTATGAGAGATTTGGCCATACTTCTGCTTTAAGTTTAGATAGGATTTGACTTGACTTCTACCTTTAAGTATTAAACTGGCAAGTATTAGGGGTGGAAGGTTCAGAGTTAAACGTGAGAGTAAAGCATTGGAGGGCTCAGTGGTGTTTGCTTCAACATAGGGACAACTATGGGAGCTACAAAATTTACAGCCCTGGCCAAAAGTTTTGAGAATGACACAAATAATAAATTTACCTGCAAGGAAACACATGCAGCCATCACTGCTTTGCACAAAAGCAATGATTCACAGGCAAGGATATTGCTGCTAATAAGATTGCACCTAAATCAACCGTTTATCGGATCATCAAGAACTTCAAGGCGAGAGGTTCAATTGTTATAAAGAAGGCTTCAGGGTGTCCAAGAAAGTCCAGTAAGTGCCAGGACCATCTTCTAAAGTTGATTCATCTGCGGGATTGGGGCCCTGCCAGTGCAGTTTGCTCAGGCATGGCAGCAGGCAGGTGTGAGTGCATATGCATGCACTATGAGGAGAAGACCTTTGGAGGATGGGCTGTTATCAAGAAGGGCAGTGAAGAAGCCACTTTTCTTTAGGAAAACATCAGAGACAGACTGATATTCTGCAAAAGTTACAGGGATTGGACTGCTGACGGTAAAGTTATTTTCTCTGATGAATCCCCTTTCCGATTGTTTGGGGCATCTGGAACAGAAACAATTGAGTACTGTCCGTGATATACTTTTTTTATTTGCACTAACATACAATTTTGAGGACACGCTTTCGGGGTATGTCCCCTTCTTCAAGGTACGGCTACAATCACCTCGGGCATCTGGAAAAAACCTTGTCCGAAAAAGAAAAGGTAGGCGCTACCATCAGTCCTGTGTCATGCCAACAGTAAAGCATCCTGAGACCATTCATGTGTTCACCCATGAATAAAGAATGGTACAAAAATATCCTCCAAAAGCAACTTCTCCCAACCATCCAATAACAGTTTGGTGATGAACAATGCCTTTGCCAGCATGATGGAGCACCTTGTCATAAGGAAAAGTGATAACCAAATGGCTTGGGGAACAAAACATTGAAATTTTGGGTCCATGGCCAGGAAACTCCCCAGACCTTACTCCCATTGAGAACTTGTGGTTAATCCTCAAGAAGCGAGTGAATATAAAAATGTCCACCAATCCTGACAAACTCCAAGCATTGATTATGCAAGAATAGGCTGCCATCAGTCAGGATGTGGCCCAGAAGCCCAGAAGCCAGAAGCATGCCAGGGCGAATTGCAGAGGTCTTGAAAAAGAAGGGTCAACACTGCAAACATTGACTCTGCATAAACGCAATGTAATTGTCAATAAAAGCCTTTGACACTTATGAAATGCTTGTAATTATACTTCAGTATACCATACTGACATCTGACAAAAAGATCGAAAAATGCTGAAGCAGCGGACTTTGTGAAAATTAATATTTGTGTCATTCTCAAAACTTTTGGCCAGGGCTGAACATTTGCTCTTGGTGCCAAAAACTCAAAGCCATAATATACCAGTAACAAGCTTTGGCACCAACACCTAACATAACAAATTTGGGCTGATACAGCTCCCATGTTGCAAAAGAAGCTTCCAATATTCTGCACTGTGTTAAACTGTGCTGTCAATCACTATGGTGGAAAGGAGGAGGTGGGCACAGACACCAGGATTACACATTTCTATATCATTTGCAACAAACGTAGCTCTTTAATTTAAAAAAAATTGAGTCAATGTATAAAAAAGGGCATTGACAAGAAAAATTACTTGGTGCACATGCCGACTTACAATTGTCATTTCTGCAATGAAAATCAGGTGGGCAACAATCAATTTTTCCTCTTCCCCCCCTTTTTTCACACATAAGCCCCCATATTTTGCACTTTAAATAGACCAGGGTTTATAAGATTATCCAACAATTACAAAGCAGTAATAAAAGTTGAGCAAGGTGTTCTTACCTTGTGCTAGTTATAATGTCTTCTTTAGATGTGGCATCCAAGCTAGCCTCTTCTGTTTGTTGTGTTTGCCTGTTATTCCCGTCATTGTCTTTCCTTCTCAACACTCTCTTCAGTTGTGGACTTGAGGCCCCCACTGCCTCTTCAGACTCACTGTCTGTCCCTAATTGTGAACCTGAGGTATGTGCCAGGCACTTAGAAGAGTTGGAGTGTCTTTGCTCCTGTCTACCCGAGTCTTTTTCCAGTAACAAAACAGGGGGGGTTTCAATCAACACCTCTTTAGCAGACACTGCACACTCTCGTCTTTCTAAATGACCAATCTCTTTGGACTTTATTAAGCTATAGGAAGCATTTATCACTTTACCTGGTGAGCAAACAGCTGTTAAGCTTTCCAAACTGTCCTCCCTTGTATCATCACAGCTACCACAACACACGCATGAATTAATTAGGCAGTTTGTGGCTGCTAAGCTAAGTTTGTGGGCCTCATCCCCTTCATGACTTGTTAAAGGGTCTGAAGAAAGAGGGGAGTGGCTGCAGGCTAAATCCGGTGAAGTTTCCGCAGACGCTGAAGTTGCACATGATTTGGGATTGAAGATTACAGTTGCCGAGATTTTCATTCCGCCAGTTCTGTTAGCAATCATTTCCGCTGTCTCTGCATCATCACCATTCACATCCCAGCCATTGAGGTATACCTGTGATTCTGCCATCTCTAAACAACTACAAGAGTTTTGCAGAGTAGCACTTGACATGAGTATTTTAGTTCCATCAATGTTGTTGTTATTGCTTATATCACTTTCTGCTTCCTTCAACAGATCAATATGGTCCATATCCCCATTTTGTACAAGTGTGTCTTGGCACAGAGAGGTCTGCTTAGGGTTATAACAGGAATTGTTGACCCAAGCACTTGTATTTTCTGAGGTTCTTCTTCTAGAAAGTCCATCCAAGGCTCCATCAAGGTCTTCCATGAAGAACACCCTATCCTCATCATCGAGTTGGTCTCTAGGGCGTCTACTTGGTGAGGCCTCTGTGCTGGAGCTAGCCCTGTGAGCAGGTGACTGGCAGACACTTGGTGGAGAAAGTAAAGAGGACATTTCATCACCAACTCTGTGGACCATCATATTAAGCTGCTCCAGCTCCTGCTCATCATACTGCATAGAGCAAGCCAGTTCTACCTCCGTGTTCTCAGGTTTTGTTGAAAGTGGTTCTTCTGAGGGTAAGGCAGCAATTAAGACAGGAGAGATTGCTCTGGGCACTTCTGGGTCAGTCCGGACAGGAAACTCCATATCTTGTGATATGCAAAGGTTCCGTTCTAGAGTGTGCAGCTCTTCTTCCGTTAATGTCTGAAGAAGATCTCTGCAAGGATTTGAAAAAGAGAAGAAGCAATTACTAATGTGCACTGAAATTAACTGGCCATGTAAGGAAATTATCACATTAAAAATGTTATGATAGACTAAATACACAATTTCACTCGCAATTTTAATTGAAAAGACAGACAAGATACAATGGCAGGAATTGACATTAATTATATAGGAGACCTAGCAAAAAATAGTTTTTTTTTTCTTAGAGATTTTAATACATTTTACTGAATCACTCTGATCAAAAATTAAACTTATAATCAACAGGTTTAATGGACTCCGATTAACCTGTTTCCACTAAGACATACCCCTTTATTCCCCTATGACTATACACCAAACAGCGATAACATCGTGACCACCAACAGGTAAAGTGAACAACACTGATTATCTTGTAACAATATCACCTGAAACTGTGTAGGATAGATTAGGCAGTAAGTGAACATGTTATATCTGAAATTGATGTGTTGAAAGAAAAAAATGGGCAAGATTAATGATTTGAGTGACTTGATAAGGGCCACATTGTAATTGCTAGATGAATGGGTCAGTGCAACATCAAAACGGAAACTCTTGTGGCATGCAGGGCTGGTGCTAGACTATTTTGTGCCCTAGGCAAGACCAGCTACTTGTTCCACCCCCCCCCCCCAAAAAAAAAGAAAAAAGTAGAAAATATTAAATCAACAAAACATGAAACTGCTAAATTTCTTTTAATTTGCAAAAATAAGAGCCATAAGCTGCACCAGCACCAATATTAAAGACAAAATATATATTAACCAAATATACTCCACAGTGACAGCAGCTACCAGCTGGCTTCCAGTAAGGGACTGAGTCTGAGAGGAACACTGGAAGGACCAGCAGCTCAGCTGAGGCCCACATGAGGCCAGGCATTGCCGTGCACCAGGAGGAATCAGGACACACTGGACCAGCGTAGGGTCCGACAATGCGTCCAAGGATTTCATCCCGAAACCTAATGGCAGTCAGGTTGCCACTGCCTAGCCTGTAGAGGTCTGTGAGTCTCCTCCATGGACATGCCTTCTCAGACCATCACTGACCCACCACCAAAACGGTCATGCTGAACAATGTTACAGGTAGTATAACGTTCTCCATGGCTTCTCCAGACCCTTTCACATCTGTTACATGTGCTCAGGCCAATCGAGCTCTATGGTGCCGGGCAGTGAGCACAGGCCCACTAGAGGACGTCGGGCCCTAAGGCCACCCTCATGAAGTTTGTTTCTGTTTGTTTGGTAAGAGACATTCACACCAGTGGCCTGCTGGAGGTCATTTTGTAGGGCTCTGGCAGTGCTCGTCCTGTTACTCCTTGCACAAAAGGAGTAGATACTGGTCCTGATGATAGGTTAAGGACCTTCTACGGCCCTGTCCAGCTCTCCTACAGTAACTGCCTGTCTCCTGGAATCTCCATTACTGACAGCTTGGTCCTGGATACCGCATTATACCTTCAGAGGTCTAATGGAGCCATTGCCAAGTCAGGGCTGTTTTGAAGGCAAATGGGGAGCTACTCAATTCAATACTTAAGTTAGTGGTCATAATGCTATGGCTTATCAGTGTACAACATTTCATTAAATGTGGAAAACAAAACAAGCCCAGTAGTTGTCATGTATCGTAGCCCAGCAAACTGTGTTAATCTCTAACCATAATGCCAATATCCTCTATAATACATCAGCAATGCTTGATTCCAAAGCATGGATGCTTTCATGGACACATTTAATGAGAAGCTGTACAATTATCTACCTGTAAGGAATGTCATTGTAAGAGCTATTACACTAAGTTGTATTTTATTTAAATGACTGCAATGTACAGCAAAGCTCTGAAAAGCACAGTGAACATGCTCTTTGCTACCAAATAGAATATTAAGGTGCTGCCTTAAATAAAATTGCCTAGATGATGATAGCAACTTCAGGAATGCACATACAAATCTACTATTGAAATTGCTGCTAAAACTGTGACCTTGCAACACAGAGGTCCTTATTTTAAGTTCTTTTTTCTGCTGGATCTCTGGATTCCTCTTCTGCGCAGAATGTATTCTTGTTGAGTTCTTTAACAATAAGAGGTAAAGGAACACAAGTTTGAAATCTGTTTTTCCTCTCATCACTGTATTTTGTAAGATTTATAAAGACAAGCCCAACATTTTTTTGAGGGGTTGGGGGGGGGGGGGGGGGGGGGGGGTCGAGGGGTGATTGTGGGTTTGGACCTTTGTTAGTTTTTAAGTGCTATGGAGACAAAAATGCATTCTCTTATTAGTGTCATTACCCCGCCCATTCACCTCATCCAATCAGAGAACGCTCTGCATTAATTCAGGAGATGCAAAGCACTCTCTGAATGGCACATGTGTTGAGTGACTGACCTCTTGTGTGCTGAATGCAGCAGGCCAGAACACTCAGTACATGACCCGAAGCAAGTGGGGATCACTGGAGTACCGATGTCAACTACTTCAGCTTCCAGGGGCATCAGTCAGGTATAGTATGTAGCCAAGTGCTTGGCTAGAGACAGAGAGAGCAGTTTTAGGACACTGCTGCAATGCTCTCTGGGTTCCCAATAGACTTCATCTGAACAGGTTAACACTACATCGCTTCCTTCCACCAGGGGGAGCTGACAAGCAGAAGGAGCTGAAGAGACTTGATGGTTGGCATTGAATTACAGGAGAAGAAGTTCAGGAAATAAACTTTACTATGGCAGTCTATTGACTACATTTTCCAATGTGAGCTGGGTATAAAGAGAAAGAGAGGGTTGTATTTTTCACAGGCTGAATATCGAGGGACTCTATCGCGAGGACAGCGAGGTGTATAAATCGCTGCTTCTGTATGCACATCCAACCTGCCACAAGTCTGCGGCTGTGTGCTGAGGACAGGATCCAGAAACTAGATAAGTGAACAGTGAGACCTATGTTGCTGTACCACTGGGACTGGTGAGAGGACACTGCTGCCACTAACCTGTTGCTGCTAGCAGAGACTGAGCACATAGGGACTGGCCATATAACTAGCAGCATTATTTACTGCATACAGACTTTACTGGGACTGTACTTATGTGCAGCACCATAAAGACTGGGCCCCATCGCTAGCCGGCTGAAGAACTAGGGCTAAAGTCTGCTCAATGAGATAACTACTGCACAAAAAATTGCCTACAGTACATAGCAAGGAGGTACTACTTTAGGGAGTTTTAAATTTCATTGCTGTCATTCATATAGAGTACATTTTAAAGTGGATATAGCCAAGTTATTGCAGTATTGACTACCACTGTTGTTACCATTTTCTAATGCCATTACTTATTGAAGATTGCCAGGTTTACTCTAATTTAGCTTCATAAACTCTATGCTGCTACAGCCTAGTGAACTGTGCTTGATCTAATCCTTTACTTTCTCATTTATGTGCATACTGCTATTTACTGGAACCCATGACAATATATTGGGTTCATTTACCACTAATCAGTCCGATGTTTGCTTTTTGATGCTGAACCTTAGTTGTGTGCAGGGTATCTATATTTGTGTTCCCAGTAGCAGAACAGTATCTATTTGCTTAACCTGGTGTGTCAGTGGGGCTGAGGTTGTTCTCAGGGTTGAGGCAGAAGAACAGAGAACCCAATCTACCAAGAGGCTCCTGCGGGGGTAGTGCTACAGGTATATGCATCGTTACATTGGTCTAAGCACAACCAACGTAACCATGTATAAAATATCCAAACCTGGAAAGCATGTTGGGCCTTCAATTAAGAAAAAAAAAAAAAACAACCACAACACTGATTGCATTCTTTTGGCAGTTTACTAAACTGCCTATAATAGTCCGGTATTCATCACAAGCTAAGATTAAAGGTTGAACTACAATGTCTCAAAACCACTTTTCAGCAAGGACATCGGCTGGAATACAACAATGGCATGCATGAGATCTGTCTCAAGCACCCAGTATGATTAAGCTGCCACATCTTTGCTATTAGATGAAATGCGTGGTAACACCGGACATTTCTCTAAATGGAATCATCGTATCCCGCTAACAATCTGCTAATCAGCGAGGGATGATCCATAAAAAGGTATTACATTCATTTCACACTGAGCCCAAAGCAAGATAAATCATCAATCAGTGACAGTGGATAATAGCAAGATGTTTGAGCACAGCACTCAATCAGGACTGATCATCAACATATGTCCTTTTTTTACCTTTAAACAGATAATTTGTGCCTCTGTTAATAAATGGCATATAATACACAGTGGAGGACACCATCATCATTACAATTCACAGGTGAACCTGTTATTTTTAAAATAAGCTATCGGTCAAACTGATGAAAGTTATGCAATGGTCGAAATCGCCTCACATTGCAGGAATGGTCATTTGCGGAGTTTTGTCCCCAGGAACTGTTGGTTTGTTGTACTTATTGAAGAAAAGATGGCCATAAACCAATCCGGTTGATTTTGAATGCAAACCTCACATAAGCAGGCTTATGTCCACCAGCCACAGATGGGAACGTCAATCAGAATAAGTTAGCAGACATGTCCCACACTCTACTTTTGTACCCCAAGGCTCAGGGTCCTGTACAGATGAAGAATGAGCTTTGTGATCATCAGCATGCTGGTAAATAAATATGAATTTTGGGGCCTGGAAACTTCCATTTTGTTATCCTTGACATGTGAATGTTGGAGCAGAATCATCCTTGGACATTCCTGACTCATCTTTGCAGCTTAACTGAGGTTCTCAAACCACCCCCCCCCCCCCACACACACACACACACACACACACACACACACACACACGCCCACATACATACAAAAATGAGTTATCAATTAATAACCTAGAGAGTACATAAACATAAAAAAAATCAACCCATTGCCTTTAAACCAGCATCAATTCACCAAGGTACACTCGCACACAGTTTTTAAGTAACTCGACGTGTAGGCTGTTCCAAACATCTAAAACAGTGGTACCATACCACGATCTTCCCCAGTCAGCCAGTATTGTATTGACGCCACCACAAACATGTCCACAGATATGGACAAAAGCA